TGTAATAATATGCATCCGACTTTATGTTTTTATAAAAATTATGATTCTATGATATGAAAAAGATTGTTTAATATTAAATGGGAAGCTGAATAGTTTTTTCAATGGGGGTTAGATAAAGGTGATGTTTTTTTTCTAGCAAGACAACCGGATGTGGCCTTTTTCTATAGACACGTTCTTAAATACGCACTCGATTGATATTGTTAAGATTTTTAATTTTTTTACTAATGATAATTGGAACATCACTAAACTTAGGGAGGTGGTTCCTTCGATTTTAGTGGAGATTATTTTGAATATTCCTTTACAAGGCCAATGTAAAGATAAAATTTTATTCACTCTTTCTTCATCTGGTAAATTCAGTTGAAAAATGTTTGGGAAACTTTTAAAATCAAAATTGAGAAATTGCTTATTTTTTCTGTTATTTGACATAAGAACTTTCCGATTTCTTACTCTATTCTTGTTTGGAGATGTCTTAAAGGTTATCTTTTGGTCAATATTTTGCTTCAAAAAAAGGTTTTAACCTTCCTTCCAAATGTTTGTGTTGTTCTAATGTGGAGAATATTGATCACCTATTTGCTCATAAAGTGTGGAGTTATTTCAATATTCTTGCGAATAAAAGTTTTGTTACCAATCAAAATAATGTGTTTTCTATTTTAGAGAATTTGGTGCATGCTTCTAAAGGTCATATTTTTAATCTGATTCATATTCTTATTTTTTGGTATATTTGGAAAGCTAGAAATGAGGCCAAGCACAATGATATCAAAATATATTCTTCTTAAATTATTTTGAATGTGAGACATAAAATATTACAATTTTATTCCTACAATATTATTTATGTTAAGAATTTTCATAATTGTTTGGATATATATGGCCACTGCTTTTGGTATTCCCATGGGTTTTGGGGCTCTGCATTCGGTTGATAAGGTTGTTAAATGGATTAAACCCAAACCACCTTATGTCAAGCTTAACTCGGATGGGTCTGTTGGGCCTACTTATACAGGTGATGGTGGTATAATTCGTGATCACTTGGGTTGTGTTATTACTGTTATGATGCCCCTTTACAATTATCCAATGTAATTATGGCTGAGCTTATAGTATTGTCGTATGGCTTGGATATCTGTATTAAGTTGGGAATTAATTTTGTGTGGATTGAGGTGGATGCAATGCTTCTTGTCCAGATTCTTACCAATGTGGTGCCTGAAAATTCTTAAAACTTTTATCTTACTAGAAAAATTAAGAATTCCCTTTCCTTTGTTAATTATTATATTTCTCATATTTATCATGAAGCTAATGTGTGTGCGGATTTGTTAGCAAATAAGAGTTGTCATTTTGATAGTTATGAGGAGTTTGATATCAGGAGATTACACCCGATGTTGAAAGGTATGATTAATTTGGATAAAGCTGGCTTGCCTTATATATGTAATATTTGATATGTTTATTTTTAAGCCTAGTTTGCATCCTTTTGGATTTTCCTTATCTGCTATTCTCTCTTTAAATTTCTGGTGGTGGTTCCTGTGGAAGTGGTTGGTTTATTGCTGTTTTTGCTGGATTTCGTTGAATATGGCCTATGTTAAGTTATGTTGGAGGTTTAACACTCGTGGGATTGATAACCTGGATTTTTTTGCTGCACCCGTGTTAGCTTATTATGATATTAGGTGGTGGTGCCTTTGTGGTCATAATTGGAAGTTTAATTTTACTATTGGTTGGGGCTTTCATTTTCAGTTTTTGACTGAGATGGTGAGTTATGTTAATTTATGTTGGAGGCTTAAAATTGGTGGGATTGATAACCTGGAGGTTTTTTATGCACCGATGTTAGCTTTTTATGAGATTAGGTGGTGGTGCCTTTGTGGTAATAATTGGAATGTTAATTTTGCTGTTGGGTGAGGTTTTCATTCTCAGTTTTGGATCGAGATGATGCTTGGGCTAAAGTGCACTATGCTGAGCTACTTTCTCTTTTTAGTGTATTTTCCTATTTATTGGGTTATAATTTAGAGAGAAAGCTGTTCTTTTTGTTGAATGTCCAAACTATCGTTGATCATAAGGGTTCTGATAGTTGCTTGGATTTTGGTTTTAACTAGTTCAACAGGTTCTGTAAAAGCAGATCTATGGCTTTATCAAATGGTATTTATTATTTTTATTTTAATTGCAATCTTACTCTTTTGTATTGTAGGTTTTTCTTATGTAGGTATGTTGGATGGAATTTTATTTCTGCTGGGTCGTCGGACGCACAAGCCAATTTTGCTATCTATGGCTCGGTTCACATTTTTTGTATGAAGTTTGTGCTGAATGTTGATCCTATGCTCTTCCTTTTTTGGGTGCTATCTCCTTACAGCCCTAGTATGTTCTTAGATATTTTTTGTAACTATTAGTATAAGAAACCACAGACTCTTAGGTTTTATTTTGCTTTATTTTGTAGCTCCTATGAGCATTAATGAGCTGGAGGTTCCTTTTAAGGACATTGTAATTCTTTTTTATATTAACATGTAGGCCTCACCGTGAATTTTAACCAAAAAAAAAATCGTAACGATGAAAATGCAAGTGGGGCATGTAAAGTCTCAACATCAAATAACATATATTTTCGCCAAACCTCTTAACTATGAATATTTTCTTAGGATGAGAAGTTAATTTATATGGAGTTGAAAAATTAAGTTCAAGAGGAGATGTTGAAAGTTAATTTGAATTAAGGCTTCATTTGGGACAGCTTTCTTACTGCTTCTTAAAGTATTTTTTTTTAGTACAAAATTTTAAGTTCAATAAGTTTTTATATTAAAAAGTTACTTAAAAAGCAGAAAGAAAGTTGTCCCGAACTAAGTGTAAGTTCATTATCATTTGGGCTTGACTTATTTAATTAGAGGCTATATTTTAGAATAATCTTTTGAGAGTTAGAAATTTATTTTAGATTAATTCTTAGAAAAACAATAAATTATTTGTGACAACTATGAATCTGTGATATGAAGTAGAAGAATATTTTAGAGTTGATTGTAGATATTAGATTTAAATATGTTGACATAATATTAATAGAGGTATTACTAACATAGATGATGATGATGCCTTTATGTTTGTCTAATGTGAAATGAAAAATAAAAATAAATAGCTTCTTCTATTATAAAATATATATATTTCACCCCTATAATCTTATCAAAATCCTAAAAACTTTCTCATTCCAATATCAACCGCCACTGGAGTACCAATTTACTAGAAATCTTAGACATTCAAGTGGATTTCATGGAGGAGAAGATTAAGGAAAATGATCCAGAAGGGAATAAAATAGTGCTCATGAATAACCAAATTAAATGAAAGACTTGCCCATAAAAACAACATTTTTACAAAAAGATAGTGTTTCCAAAAATAATCACGGGCAACCCATCTAAGCAAAGCTGAAATCTTATTGATAAGAGAACTAAAACATGAAAAGCTCCCAATCATAGCAAAAACTAAAATATTATCTTTAAGCTCCCATACTCTCTTCACTGATTCTAATCAACTTGAGCAAGTTTCTGATTGTTTTGAATAAAATTATTGTGGAAGATTGTTTTGCAGTACTTTAATGTCTTTTAATTATACTGTGGCTGAGGATTTTGCTCTCCTGATTTGGTCGCTGGAGTTTTGGCTGCATTTCTTTTGCAGGGTTTTTGTGAGTTCCAGAATGGTGAGCTATTCGAAGTTTGATTATTCTTTTTGCAGGAAGATGGTGTTGAATGCCTTTGTTTTGATCTTCCATTTTTTGGTGTTGTCTACTTGCAGCCCTAGAATGTATTTTGGTTCTTTTGTAATTCATAGTATAGGGAACAACCGACATTAAGGATTTATTATGACTTTTCTTGTAGCTTTTTTGAGCATTAACGAGCTTGAAGTTCCTTCTAAGGACCTTATAACCCCTTATTTGATATTAACGTGTAAGCCCCTCAGTGGGTTTTAACTTAAAAAAATAAAAATAAAAAGTTATTGTGTAAGACTATAGATAAATTTGAGTCGAGAAAGGACCTATCCAATGCGGACGGGGAAGGCCGAGCTTCTATTTGGAGGAAGGGGAGGGAGAAGGGAAACCAGAGTTAGTGTGTTAAGGAGTTGAGTTTTGGAGAAAACTGAAGAGAAAGTTTAGGAGGCTGCTTTGAACATCAGGAGGGTTAAATAAAGGAGCTTTGTGTGGGGAGGGAAGACGGTTGGATTTCATGGGCGTCGAATAGAGTCTCTCGCGTAAGCTGAAGAATAATGATTCTGTAAGAAAAAATTGAATGAGACATAGAAAGAGCTGCCAGAAAACTAGCGGATGAATATGGCTCAAAATCCTACTCTCAGATCAAAAAGAAGATCCATCTCGGACTCGTTCCTCCCCCTCGACTTCTTATCTCACTGTTCATAACTCACAGATATGATCTTCATTAATCACTTCACGAGGGATTGCAATAAAAGAGACAGTAGAAAGCAATCCAGCACTGAAAACCAAGCATTTTGAAATAGATAGATAGTACGAGCTCCTCAGAGAGACTCATTTGCAAGCATTATGACAAAAGTAAGAGAGAGAAAAAGTTGAACAGGGAAAGACATCATAGTTTTAAATGAGAATAGATGACCAGCTTTCAAGAACCACACTGCAAACACCCCAACCCCATTGCTCTCTCTCTCTCTCTCCTCTGACAGTGGCCTTGTTGTTACTCCCACTTCAGGCTTCAAGCTTTCTCCAGTGGATTTGGGTCAGTCTCCATTTTACTGCTCCACCGATTCATGCCCACTCTTCTTCATTAGATTCTTCTTAGGTTAAGGAATAAATGAAGAACAAGAAATAGTTAAAGAGTCGCTAACTCAAAACGGGTTCTCTCTCTCTCTCTCTCTCTCTCTCTCTTCTTATGTATATATATATATATATATGTAGAGACGAGAGAGAGCAAAATAATTAGCAAAAGATAACGACAAAAACGAGTCCAATGTTTTTCACAGATCAGGACTGTTATCTTCAGCAACATCATATAATTATCATATTATCGAAAAATATTATCAGTTATCTGAACAATTAAAAAAAATTGAAAACCCCACACAATATATTGCTAGATATGCTTGCATTATATATGCTTCACCATTATCCCGACAAATATAATAATGTCAAGCATTAATTTGTGGCGATGCTCTTAACTCGACCTCCTGGGCTCACGTTCATCATGATCATGGTTTTCCTCGTCGCCCTCACCTTCTGTCACCACAGAGGAAATGTAACTCGCCGTTAACGAGTAGTCGTCGGCGAACAGCATTGGCGACGCTGTTGCCTTGGAGTAAAATTGTTGCTTGCAAGAGAGGCAGGTGATTTGCAGTAAGATGGAATGTATTTTCTTGGCGGCGCGGTCTCTTAGTGCGAACGCCTTGTTAAGCTCAAGCTGTGCTTGTTGCCTGATCCGCTTCGCATTCGCAAACTCCTGTTCGGCGAGTTCCATCTGCCGCTTAGCCTCCTGCCGCGCTTCGTCTGCCATTACCTTCTCATCCAGCGCCTTTGAGTTGCCAATGGTGAGTTCCAATTTTGTGGCGCGGGTATCGTCGGAGGAGGGAGAAGGGGTCGAGGAAGGGATCCCTGGTTCTGCGGGAAGAAGCTGAAGCTCGATGTTAGGTCGTCGGCGGAGTATGTGAGAAGACGAAGATGGCGTGTAGTGATCGAGTTGGAGAAAGGAGGCGGCTCCGGCTGTCTTTGGAGGTCTCAAGGCCTGCCACATCGATGCTGTAGGAAGCAGCGCGGGTGGAGGTATAAAGATTGTCTGATCACTAGATGGGCTCTGGCTAGACGCAGAGCGAGACACGCATGCCGGCGGCGCCGGCCTTGCCCGGCCCGCATTACACGTATCCTGGTGCTCAATGAAGCTCTCCACCCTTGAGAAGAACCAAATTAAGATTTTCATATAGGATTATGTTCTGATTAATCAAGGTGTTCAGATCAAAATTAGATCTTTAAATCATTTTTATATGTTTATACATTCAAAAGCTACGGTCAAAATTAAATCTTTTAATGTTGTCTTAATATTAATGCAGGATAATTAATATACAATTAACGAAATATTGGCAAAATGGAAAAGAAATCTTCAATATACCGGGAAAAGACGCGGCCACAATCGCAGGAGTGGCCGCGGGTGCCGCAAGTCTTGAGATGGGCCTTGTAGTCGGAGTGGACGGCGTAGGCCTTGGTGCAGCGAGCACATGCCCACTGCTTGTGCGCGGAGTGCTTACGCCGGAAATGCTTCTTTATGCCAACAAGGTCACCTAAGGCGTGGGAAGGGTCGTGGTGGAGGCAAGAAGGCTCCGGGCAAACGAACACCCGTTTGCGCGTCTCCGAGCCGCTCTCGCGCTTGAGCAGTTTCCACGGCACCTTGTGCCTCCGTCGGTGCATCTGAAGGTTCTGATCTCGCTGAAATCCCTGGTTGCAGATCTCGCACACGTACCGGTCTGATTCCAGAAGCGTTCGCGGCGAAAGAGACACCACCTCCGCCTCCGGGTCTGCTTGCAGCACCTCTTAATCACTCTACCGAATTTATTATAATATAGATACGTCTGTAATTTGTTAAAACTTACCAGGGGTACCAGCTGGGCGGCGCTTGCGCTTGGTGGCGGAGATGGCATTGGGAGGGGCAGGAGAAGATGTTGCGGCTGGTGGTACCGGCGAGGTAGAGACGAACATGGATTAATTGATTTATGTTGATTAGATGGCTAATGTTGCAGATTTATGGTGGCTAGTGGCGCTCGTTAGATCGGATCAAGTGAGGAGTTTAAGATGAGTGATGAGAGTATTTAACAGGAGAAGAAAAATTAGAAGAAGGGGAAAAGGAAGAGGAAGACAACTATGACTTGCTAGGAAAGATGGAAAAGCTCTTTCTCCAAATCTCCTTCTCTATGTCTGTTTAGAAGCTTTGTTTTGGAGTCTACCTGAGAGGATATATAAGTAGGCAGCTTTCCAAGGCTTTTAGTTCTAGCTTGCAGCTTTCTTTAGGATTTCGTCATGGTTGGGAATTGATGGGGCTGTGGAAGGAAGCGGGTGGAGTTGGAGTCATTGAGGATATGAGTGAGTACAGAGCTCTTCTCTTGTTATTATTATTTTCATTCAATAAAACGTTCTCCTCGCAAGAGAGAAAGGAAGAGGACTGACCCAATCAAAGTGCTCGAAATTTGAGCCCACCAAAATAGGCAAAGACGGACAGCGAGGAAAACATCCCCACAAGAAAACAAAAACCCTCATAATTTTTCCTGCATACAAAAGAAGCCATCATAATTTCATCACTCCCCTCCTTCCACAGCAAGCAGTAATTTGCATGGATAAATGCAGGCTTCTGACCTCTTTCTCTTATATATCTATATATTCCTTATTAAATTTTATATGTGGAGGACAACTATTCTGTAGCAGTAGCCCTTTAGAAGAGGGGATATTAATGTGTAGATATGCGAAGGCTAATTAATCTATAGGCTTCTTTGTGCCATTGTGTGGAATATATTTCTGTATGTCAAGCTTGTTTGCTTGTAAGGACTCTGTCTTCCTTCTGCTTTCATGGCCTGTACACTATGGAATTTCTTGGGTAATAATATGATGGAGAGTTGCATATTTGATCTATAGAGATCACAATATGTTGATTCTTTAGAAAAACGTTTTCCTGAAGACTTGTTTCATTATTGAGTTATTGTTTGTGGTGAGGCTTTGGATCCGATGTATGCGTCCTTACAAATTGATCGGGTACATATATTAAAGAATGCAGAGTTTTCATTAAACATGTACTTATTGTTAGGATGTACTGCATAGTTAATTATGAAAATAGTTACCTCCTCCCCTTAGTTTTTTTTACCTCGGGCTATTGTTCTGATCAACTTTTTTTTTGGGTTAAAACCCACCCTCGGGCGCCTTATGCGTTAATAATAAAAAAAAGTTACAAGATCTTTAAAGAAACCTTCAGCTCTTTACTGTTCGAATGAGCTAAAAAAAGACCCAAAAAAAGCTTTAATGTCTATATGCAGACATGGATTTAGGTACATTGGTAATCTAGTAAATAAGTAGGATAAATGTAATCATTTAGTAATCTAATCTTGGTGAATGCTTTATGATTCGCATATATATATTTAATCTTGTTTGATCATGGCTTATTTTGACATAATTTTCATTTTTTATTTACACGTTTAAACGAATGCATTTTACATAATTTAAATTTTTCTTTTATAAAGATCTAAAATCTTGATTAGAAAAAGATTAATCTAACAGATTTATTTCTTAGATAATTTTGTCGGAAATTAGAAATTGATCTTTCATTTGCTTAAACTATAATAAATAAAAGAAATTTTGTCAGAATACTCACACTTAAACACTTAAATTTGGTTATGATAGTTCTCAAAATTATTAAATTAGTTTTGAGATTAGTATTATATAAAATTTAATTAAATTATTCATATATTATACTTAAAAAAGATTTAATAATTTTAAAATTCTAATTAGATTTTAATCACGATATTCTTATGAAATTTTTACCATAATTAAACAAGTTATACCATGCACTTAATAAAGAAAAGAAATTTTAGTCAGAATACTCACACTTAAATTTGTTTATGATAGTTTTTAAAATTATTAAATTAATTTTGGGACCAGTATTATATAAATTTTAATTAATTACTCTATATTATACTCAACTAAAAATATTTAATAATACAGTTAATTAACTAAATTTTAATCATGATATTATTATAAATATTTTCATAATTAATACAAAAGTTATATCACATACCTATCACATTTAAAGCAAGACTTACATAGCTTTTTTTAGATAATTTTAGGACAGTTTTTTCATTGGAAGTTTTTTTTTTTGGACATTTAAGTAATTAAGGCAGATTCACACGCACATCATATTTGAAACTAAGATCTCTTAGTTGATAGTCTAATCTCCCAATCAACAGACCAAGACGAGTTTTGTAACTTTTTTGTACAAAATTTTTAAAATGATAAAAAAATAGTGGCCAAAAGATGCTCAAAATGAAGCCTTTGCCTAAAGCATTGCTCATAATAATTTTATGTCAAGTATTTTTCCCTTGGCCTTAGCATGCAAGACGTTCTAGCCGGCAAATTGCTGGGCCCAATTACACGCAATCTACAAAGAGACCAAACGAGGGCGAGATTTAAGCGATGATAGTTTCCAAAACCAGCAACATGCCGAAAGTGTTTTGGTCATTTCAGTTGCTTGTGACGGGCACTACTAGAAAGGACCTAAATTATTATCTTTTTAAATGATGGATAGTTGAAGACCTCACCATTAAGACGATGGTGTGACCAATCAAATGAGACGCACAAAAATGTTAACAACTGTCCAGGATCGCATATATCCTTCTTTGTACATGAGTAAAAAAAAGAAGCTCCTATACACATGCTGCCGGACGGGATGGGAGAAACGGCGATGGCAAGAAATGCGAGCTGCGGGAACTCACAACCCACACATAGCCAAGAATCGTGCTTCTTGGGAGGGTATCACCACCTAAATATAATTATGATACAGAGACCCGGAAATAGAGTAAAAAACTCAAATCTTATTCATCTCAAAATCTACCCCTTACAAGTATTATATATATATATATATATAATAATTATATATATTAATATATATATATATATATATATATATATATATATATATATATATACATATTAGGGGAAACCCACGGAGCGGCCTATGCGTTGATATAATTCAAAATTACAAGTCCTTACAGAGATATTCCGGCTCGCTAATGCTCAAAGTGCCTACAAAATTTTAAAGGAAAATAAAACCTAACAGCCGATTGTCCCCTTACTAATCCACATTCAAAAATAGCCTAGATACAATCTAAGCGACACAAAGAAAGCGTCTAAAAAAGAAAGAACAAAGATGTAGCCTTTAGCCCAGTCTTTTCTTTAAAAAAACAGCTTGAAAGCCAAAAATGAATATGCAAAAAAAACACAGATCCAATCCAAAGCAAGATACTAGAAGACAAATTTTCGAATTATTAGATAAGATAAACAGAAAAAAAAATTGATGAGAACCAATACCAATGCAGTAAAGAGGCAAACTGTCCCAATTTTGAATGATAAAGTTATAGCTCCTTCAAACATAACAACCACAGACAAGTTTAAACCCACTAAAAATGGTAAAAAGAAAATAAGATAACTTCCTGATAACAAGAAAAACATTCAGAAAGATTTGAATTTACCACAGGATATGAATCAACTTGATGAAGAGATCAACATTGATTAATAAACCCTAGTAATTAAGCCACATCAGAAGGGAAAGCCTTAACCTGATTTTACCACCACAGTAATAATCAAATAGCCCAATAAAACACCAACTATTTATAATGCAAGAAAGACTTAATAAACCACTTAATACCACAACCAAGCTATAACAACTGCTCCTCTCGCAATCAGAGACCAAAAAAAACAAATCATAAGCTGCAACCCCAGCAACCCATAATGAATTCCCAGTACAATAAAAACCACACCGACATAACAAAGTATCCACCTCAAAAGCAAAAAACAGAACACCATCAACCAATTCTAATATAGGGTAAACAATTTTCTCAAACTTAATCAAACTCTTAATAGAAGAGGCAAAATTAGCGTTCCAAACTCCACATCAGCTTCTAGTTGACAGGCCAAATTTGGCCAGCCAGTCAGCACAAGCATTATCTTCCAAAAAAAACATGATTAATAGTATAATTGAGAGTAGAAAGAGTCAGTCTAATTCTTCTAATAAGATAAAAAATTAAGTATATCCACATACTCATTCTTAATGATTTGAATTAACAGTAAAGCATCTACCTCAATCGCAATATTAGCAAAAACTCTATTCTGGTAGATCTCCAGTGTAAAGGCCATTTTTCTCCAATAATCGTCCGGGCGAAGTTGGATCGTCCCGGGATGAACGGTACAGGTTTGTGCGGGAAAATGTTTCTGGCTGCATGGTTCATCTGGATGAAATTTGGATCGTCTGGACGAAAATTTTACAGAGCCAAGTCCGTCCGGGACGTTAATTAATCTCGTCTGGACGAAATTCGTCTAGAGCCGAATCGTCCCGGGACGAAGTTGCGATCGTCCGGGACGATCCGTCTGGATATATATAGAAATGAGATATTTTGAAGAGAGAGAAAAGCCCAAGGAGAGAGAAATCGAAGAAAAAGAGGAAAAGTGTTTTTGGGCAACTCTGGTCCGTTTTCGTCCGTTGCTGTAGTTAAGAAATTGACCGACTCGAGGTAAGGCACATTCCACCTTTCTCAATTTTCAGAATGGTGAAGTTTGAAAAATTTTTCTGTCCGGATTTCATTTTTGTAGCGAATTTCGTCTGTATTTCCCGATTGGTTCAGTTTTTACCGCGTAACTTTTGGTATGTTTCGAGGTGCCGAGTGCGAACGTTTTAATTATTTTCTGAAGAATTTTGACTGGATAGTTTTGATTCGGTGGTATTTTCTTTTGACTGTAATTTCTGATGATGTCTGAAATTATCTGGGCAGTAGAATGAAAGTCTTATAATATTGTTGTGAATGTTCTGTGGTAATTTGATAAATTTTTGAATCTGTGAATTTTGTGTAAATTCCGTATACTGCAGTTATACCGCTGGATTTTTGTACTATTTCTGAAATTGTCCGAATTTATTTTGAAATGATATGATATGATTGTGTGCTATAAAAAGGAGTTATAAGGGGTCAGAATCTTGTGAGATCCTGTCCGTGTCAGGAAATCTGAAATGAGCTCTGAAATATGAAATTAAGTCTGTTCCGGATCCGATGATAAGTTTTTGTTTCTAGTGCTATAAGCACATCTGTTCTGGTGCCATGAGCAAAAGGGAGGCAAGGGGCCAGAATCCGAGAGATTCTGTCAGTGTCTGGGAAGGGAGGCAATAAGAGGCCAAAATCCGTTAGATTCTATCAGAGTCAGGGAATCTGTTCTGACTTTTGATATATTCTGAATTGATATGATTTCTGATTTCCATATGATTTTGATATGATTTATGATTCTGATACGATTCTGTTCTGATTTGATCTGATATGTATGATTCTGTTCTGATTCAATTTCTGGAATTATGATTTCTGTGATTTCTGTTCTGTTCTGATTCGATATACGATTCTGTTGATCTGATTTATGTACGGATTTGTGTCTGATGTGTTGGATGTGGATTCTGAGGATTTTGATTGGAGGTTTGATGTCTTGCTGAGCTGTTGTAGCTCATCCTTGTTTTCTGCGTTATTTTCAGGTTCTGGGAAAGGGAAGGAAGTCTTGGAGTA